CAGGGCATGGCTAACTCATAGATCCAACCCTGAAACAACCTCTGGGCTGATCTAAGTCAGGGCATGGCTAACTCACAGATCAAGCACTGAAACAACCTAAGGGCCAACCTAAGAAAAGGCACAGCTAACTCAAAGATGGCTTTGGAATTAGATGTTTTTGGGTTTTATAGAGAGAGGAAAGTTGGAAATGACCTGAGTCAGAAATCCTTTTAGAAAGTACTTAACCTAATCTGTTTTTTTTAGGACTTAATACAACAAGGCTGACCTCTGGTTGTTAGTGATCAATACACTACCATAAACATGTCTTTCTGATAAGAATCTTAAGTGGCTGTCTTTCAGCATAACAAGGTTAGAGAATCTGGTGTCAATGAAATACTTTTCAATGACCTTTAAGGATATTTCAACTTTTAAAGTGCAAATGTAAAAAACATCTACAATCCAACACACAGACTTAACTATTAACTTACTAACTAAACTCTACATTATTTGGAAATTATTATTTTTTTATCTGTTTTGTATTATTTGAATTTTATAATTGGATTTGCATTACTGCAGCTTTTAATATCATCCTAAAATGTGTTTTTTCGCTGCTGTCAATCAAAAATAATCAGACGGTATCTTTTATATTTTTGACTGGCGGCAATGAATGAGCAAATTGCAACAGGCAGCTTGTATCTAGGGTTTTTTTAATTTCAGCACTATGATAAAGAAAGATAAAATTTACTAAACAAGAAATGGGTTAATTGCAAAAATTTATGAACGCAAAATATATTTATTCAACTCATAAATAAAATCATAACTCTATTCAAAAACAAATCAATTTTGGTATGATTTTTTCTTGTTTCTTTAAAAACAATAATATTTGTTAACACTATATATACGTGCTATTTTCTTGCAGTCTATTCTATCTTACTAAATGATCTACACGTCTATAAAATAGTAAATAAAAAAAGAAAGTTTTCCTTGCTAATCAACCAAGATGCTATCACACTCCAAAATTACCACTACTGCATATTCTGTGAACATATACATTCCAATGGCTTGTTGTGAAAATAGGTTTTTCACTGCYKCCAGTCAAGAATATAAAAGGGTACTGGCTTATTATTTTTGATTGACAGAAGAGTGCAGCTTGTAACTACCGAGTTCGCAGAATGTCAAAAAAAGTTTAGCATACRTAGTCAAACCCAAATAAAATAATATCAAACTCAAGTTTATTGTCCCCAAAAAATTGCAACATAGAAATATGTTTGTAATTTTCTTTTTATCGTAATCAACGTAGCTTGAAAATTCTTAATCACCAAATCAAAATGAAATTAGTCGTAGTTTGTACATTGAAAACTCAGAGCAAATAAGCTGGCTTGGCGAATCTTTGATCTTCCCAGACAAATAAATGTCGCTTCCTATAACAACTTGAAGGTTTGAAAGACTGGTTATTAAGCTTTAAGTATTTGAGAAATAGCCTTTTTCAATTTCATTACACTTCTGATGTGTTTACCATGTGTTTTCGTAAAATGTTTACACAGAACACGCTCTACTTTTATATTCGTTTTTCCAAGGAAAATAATCCAAATTTCTTGTAAAGTAATTAAATATTAAGACYAAAATTACTACAGTCTACGGGGCGGTAATATTAATTATTGAAAGAAAAGATCGCGCGCTACGATTAAAAATGCAAGTACGAAAAAAAAAWTTGACTATCTACAAAAAACGCATTCAATGAAATATTGTGGATGATAAAGATATATTTTTGATTCAAATTCCTTTAAGTTTTATCATATTGTCTTTTGATTCTGATCAAAAATTAAAACTTTTTTAAACGGGGTGTTATTATGAAATAATTTCGAATAGAAACGAAAAAAAAGTAGAACTCGCAACTCTTTCCTTTTCCTTTCTGATTTAAATTGGAAGTTTTAAAGGTAAATTCAACCAGTGACTTAATTTTCAAAGACGGTCAATACGTCTGAATACTAATTTGAAGTATAATTGCCTTGAGTTGATGGCAACATTCGATAGAACTTACTCACGAATCATAAGATGAAGTGTCCTAAGTTCAACCCACAGATAAAAGATAAAAAAATCGCTTTGAATTTTATAGCTCTATGTGATCTTATATTCCCAAGGCCATAACAAGAGACAGCCTGCTGGTTGTATATTTTTGGCTTAAAGAAATACAAATTCTCAATATATTTTAGAGGTTTAGTGTTATGTATTAATGATTTCTGCTGGTAGTGAATGTAGCGCGCGACAAATCGTACAACTGTTCAACTCTCTTCTATAGGCTTATAAATGAATTTAACTGTCTCTTTAGGCGTAATTATAAGAGAGTTTCACTAGACAAAGCAGTGAGTCTTTAGAGCTTCTAAAAACGCTGGAAAATAATACGAATACGTTGCCAGCTGTCCAGCATATACGACATATAGCTACGAACAGAGACGCACGAACAAACGACTTCCACTCTACGCCATGCATTTAAACCACGATCAAACTCCAAATAACGTAAAATAAAGGTGTTTTAGAGTTTCTAATGTACCCAGGAGGGATAGCAGTTAACTATAGATAGTAGAATTTCGTAGTAAACAAGAGTTTACTGAAGCAAAACTCTCAATCGCTCGCTCTCTACTAACATAAACAAGACATCGATGTGCTGTTAACGTTAGTATCTCCAAAATAATAACAACTTAACAGGATATATCTTTGCTAGAATTCTGTTCTCAATATATAGAATTTCTCGATATTCCCTCGGGCTGTAATTTAGGGTTTTTGTTAAGCTAATAAACAATGAAATATTTTTTGCTCAAAAGACCTTAAATATCGACTTAATTTCGCGAGTGCTAGTATACAATTAAGTTTATACCAAGATCGGCAAAAATCTTGGGGGAAATTAAAAATCACACAACGTTGAACTCTAAACCGATGTATAAATGGTGTTCGGTTGATCTTTCGACCATCTCTAACTGGCTCATAATAAAATATTTATCGCAAAAAGAATGGCACATTTATACTCATGTTATACTCACATAGACGCGTGATATAGGTGCGAGAGACCGTGCGGTCTTTCCAAAAAGTTATAACAAGCTAGCTGGATTTTTCTGTACTGTTCTGAATGAGCGCGATTTCTTGCTCCCGGGATTGGTCTTCCAAGAAGATCCAATCGAGTACTAGGTCCGTTTTGAACAACAGAGCCGCACTCATCGCCTTTGCTAGCCTTTTCTTCGGACTTTAAAGTGTAACTCTGGAACCTTGCTTCCTTCAAACTCAAGTCACAGTCACCACTCTCTCGAGCGAAGTTAGTACTTCCCTTCCTGAACATCACGGACATCCATCCAATAGAGTTTCATCGCGTAGGATTTTCTCCTTCGAAGGTTTGCGATGTGCAGGAATTTTGAGATCAAATTGGTTAGATGTCTTGTTTACTTGCTCGACAAGTTTTTGGCCTGCACGCTTATCATACGATCATCTGTCGGAATTCCCGGCTATAAACCACGTGATTTTATAATCTCCTGTAAACAATAGCTCGGTATTTACGAACTAATTACGAAATTAAGCCGATTGCATTCCGATGAATTAATTTTGAAAAGAACACTCTTGGGTAAAAAAACCCACTAGGAGTGAAAGAAAGAAAGAACGAATGGAATAACTAATATCTTTATCAGACAAGGTTTATTTTTTTATGCTCATTATGTTTCGTATTTTCGACCCAATTACGAAGTGAGGCGATTATTTATTGATAAATTAATTCATTAAAAAGAGCTATAGACTGAATTTAAGCAGAGAAAGAATCTCTTTACTAGGCAATCACTTTTCTTTATGTCACTTATGCCAGTAAATTCATAAAGTTCTTCATCATTTAGCTCTAATTTTCCCAAGTGGATATGCCAGTAGTAGAGCGGCTGGTTTCGAGGTAACTCCACTCTTGGATCGACTGATCTTCTAAGCATTTTACTACCCAAGAAGGTCTTTAGAAGTCTTTGCATAGATTATGTCAACTTGAAACCACTCAAACCCTACTAATTTCGGTTACTAAAGCCTCTTAATCCTACTGGTTGTTTGTGAAAGAAAACCARTTTCAATGACAATTGATCTTTAAGCTTTAAGTAGCTTAGCATAGAATGATAAAGCAATGACAAGCGCAGTCAGTGAGGTCTGTTCCTAAGGATTTGCTCATTAATAGCATTTATGTTGCCATGTCAACTTATCTGGCTTTATGAGCAAAAAATTTCACAGTGTCATTGAAAAAGATATAGTAAAATATACTTTCAAACCGGTTTCAAAGGATTTTATTTGTTTATTCGTTTATTCAACCCTTTATCCATCCGTCCGTCCGTCCATCCATCCATCCGTCCATCCGTCCATTCGTCCATCCATCCATCCATCCATCCATCCATCCATCCATCCATCAGTCCTTCCATTTCGTTTCCCCCCTCCACTTTCACACTGTAAATCATCTTGAGCAAATCAATAAGGTTAATTTTTTTCACTCGGTGTATTTAAACTCAATGCTTTATTTTAGAATGTTTGAAACAGCAGAAATTTAATGTCACTAAACAAGACAAAGAAAGACACTTTTCAGGTAAAACATGAATTCAAAATTATTAAGCGTTTAATAATGTAGAAAATAGATAGATAGGTAGATAGATAACTTTATTTATCCACGGTAAATCGTAAAATATACCACAACAATTTATGAATAATACATAATATATACGTAAGTACTTATAAATAGTTATGAAGAAACATATAAAGTGATAAATTAGAATATTAAAACAGTATTTTTACACGAGTGAATATAATAAATCCGGCGCGCTTATTGGTCACAATCTTATGCTGTTATATTCGGCTACAGGTGAATATAATGCGCACGCGCACGCTTTTTTGTCGATTTGTGTCGCCAAGAAACTTTTAGTTTGCGTGGCAAATTCACGCAAAACGTTTAGCAAAACTTTTCGGTAACACTTCGTTGCCTTTTTATTATCGATAGGAATGGCATTTACTTTCATTTTTTCAATTTCCTAGCAAAACGATTGCCGGCAGATGCCATTTTGTTGCCGACTCAATATTCCGAGATTCAGAGGTGAATATCGTACAATATTCACCTCCAATTAACCGCGCGCGTTCTTAGGAAGTACACAAGTTGGTATATGCTAAAGATGAATATAATGCGCACACGCACGCTTTTTTGTCGATTTGTGTCGCCAAAAAAGATAAATAAGATAAAATAAAATAAAAAGAACTCTCTCGTCTCTCCGTTTTTTATTAAATTCACTTGTGTTAAAAATACTTAAGCAATTATTGGAATATATGAATATATACTTGGCAATACACCAGTCCTTCCCGCACTAAACGGACTCAGGCAATTGCTGGGAATTGGGTCGAGTCAAGGAATATTAAGAAGCATGAACGAACATCGAACAAATGAAATCCAGTGTAGCGTGAGATCCGTAACAATAGAGAATCTATTTGAATTTTAGATATACATGACTTTGAGCAGCCATTTTGGCGAGCGAATTTATTTCAGTGTATCGCCTTATTCCTGTAGATATGTATCATGTTTGAATGGTTACTGTCTAGTACGAAGCGTAGAAGAGTTCTCAAATGTCTCTTTGGCTTTGGGATTGCATTTTGGGTTTTGTTTTCAATATCAAAGATGTTTTCTCGACAACCGAAAATTTATCCAAGGCCGAAGGGAATAGACGATAAAATTCGTGCGATACATAAAGAAATCCTACGAACAAAACTTCTTTTAGAAAACGTCACGCTGGCTAACACTCTACAAGAGTACTCGAAGAAATCTGAAAAGGAAAGGACAAAGCTAGTTTATGTTTTTACTCCGTTTTTCGGTCAGAAACGATGGGGCTGGATGAAGAACAGCAAAATATTCAACAGTTGGGAAGGTATTCAGTGCCCATACTTTCGTTGTAGATTGACATATAGTAGAGAAGACTTTCCTAAAGCAGATGCTGTAATATTCCACGCAAAAGACATGCCTCAACGTCTAGCATTGCAACGACTTCTTCATTACAAACCAAAGCCTCAGAAATGGGTCTATTTTGCTTTAGAAAGTCCCGAGCATAACTTTGATGCGACAAAACTGAACAACCTATTCCACTGGACGCTAACCTATCGCAGAGATTCAGATTTCTATTCTCCTTACGGATACTACTTTCCAATCTCCCACGGAGAGAAAAAGGCAGAGAAATCCATCAATCAAATGATCGAGAAGAAAGATAAGTTTATATTTTGGGCGGCAAGTGATTGTGGGATATTTCGGGATAAATACATTCGTAAGCTTCTGGAGTATACACAGGTTGATATATACGGTAAGTGTGGCCCTTTTGTGGGTGTTAATAAGACAGGAGGGTGCGAAATGAATGATCCTAAATGCACCAAGCTAGAAAAACGGTACAAATTTTTATTAGCGTTTGAGAATTCTTACTGCAAGGACTACATAACAGAGAAGTATTGGAACGCCTTGAAGTTAGGAATAGTGCCAGTCGTGCTCGGCGGTGCAGACTACAGCAACCCCGAGTTAGCTATCCCTGGATCGTACATCAATGCATTGGACTTCAAAAGTGTTAAAAAACTAGCGGAATATTTGAAATACCTTGATAATAACGACAAAGAGYATAGGAAGTATTTTGAGTGGAGAAAACTATATAAGAGAGTTGACTATGCGCCTTGGACGTGTACACTGTGTGCAGCATTGAATATGAATACGAAGAAAACGTATATTAGTAAGTTGGGGGATTTTTGGAGCATTAAAAAACAATGTGGATTGGAAGAAACGAACATCAATGCTATCCTCAGAACGAAAACTACGGGATGAATTTTTGGAGACATATGCATATATATATAACAAGAGAAGATGAACTAAGAGAAGGAATCCTTCCTATATAGCCTTGTAACTATCATGTACACAGTTTGATGCTATTTTTAGCTTGGAGATATTTTGAGCTAAGAACCTGATTGTTTGATTTCTCGAGGGTAGACGGCTTCCAGACTTGCAGTAAACAAAGCCTGTGTTTTTGTTGTGGACGTAGCGAAATATGACGCTTTTCGTGTCCTAAAACGAGGAACTAATGGGAAGCACGATTATCGTGCGAGCATGGTAACGAGCTAAAAATAGCATCAATGATTCTAAAAATAGCATCAAAG